GATTGAATGGAATTTCTAGTTTTAGCTTTTTGAGGAATCTCCAGACTGATTTCCATAATGAGTATACAATTTATACTCCCACCAACAATATAAAAATGTTTCTTTTCTCCAGCATTAGTTATTGTTGGATTTCTTGATGATGAGCATCCTTTCTGGGGTGAAATGGAATCTCACTTCTGATTTAATTTGCATTTCTCTAACAGCTAGTGGTGACAGGTATTTCTTCATGTATTTAGTGATTGTTTGTGATTCTCCTGTGAAGTGTCTCTTCATTTCACTTGCCCATTCTTTGATTGGGTCTTTTTTTTGGGGATTCTAATTTTTTGAGTTTCTCATATATTCTAAATATGAATCCGCTGGCAAATTTTTTTTGTCTTTTACTCTGTTGGTTGTTTCTTTCGCTGAGCAGAAGCCTTTTAATTTGATGTAGTCCCATTTCTTGGCTGTCAGAACCATTTCCTGTGCAGCCAGGTTTCTCTTCAGAAAGTCCTTGACTAGGCCTATGATTGCAAGAGTTTTACCTATTTTGTCTTCTAGCAGGTTAGTGTTTATTTAGTTCTTTGATCCACTGTGATTTTAGTTTATTACCTGGTGAGAGATATGGGTTTAAATTCAGTCTTCTGCATGTGGACAGCCAGTTTTCCCAATGCCATTTATTAAAGACTATCTTTCCTCCAGTGCATGTTTTTAAGCCACACAGTATTGAAGGAGAAACAACTATATTCAACCATAAAGCATACTATAAAGCTATGGTAGTAAAGGAAGTGTACTACTGGCATGAGAGTAGACAAATAGATCAATGGAATAGAATTCAAAACTCACACAGAGTCCCTGGAGTATACCTAGCTAATCTTTAACAAAGCAGCAAAGGCAACACAATGGAGAAAAGAGAAAAGAGAAGTTCCTAAATAAATGGTGCTGGAATAACTGGACATCCACCCCCAAATCTAGACACAAGCCTTACATCCTGTAAAAGAAATTTACTAAAAGTAAATGATAGACCTACATGTAAAGGGCAAAGATAATGTAGGAAAACATTTACATGGTCTTGGCTTGGTAATGACCTTATAAATATACTAGAGGAATAATCCATGAATGAAGTAATTGAAAAATTGAACTTCATTAAAATTAAAAATTTCTGCATTGAGAAAGACTATGTCAAGACAATGAGAAGACAAGAAAAAGACTGAGAAAATATTTGCAGAAACCATGTTTTACAAAGGACTTTTATCCATGGGTATATAACGAACTCTCAAATATCAACAAGAGGAAACAAATAAGCTAAACAAAAGTGGGCCAAAGACCTGAAAAGACAGAAGACATACAAGAGGCCAATAATTATATGAAAGACCCACATTATATATCCTTAGGAAATTGCAAACTAAAACAACGAGGACATACCACTACACTCCTATTGGGAAGATGAAAAATCAAAACACCCGTAATGCGAAATTATGGCAAGACTGTTGAGTAGCAGGAATCTTTATTCATTGTTGATAGGAATTCAAATAGTACACCTTGGAAGACAGTTTGGCAGTTTATTACAAAACCAACATATTTTTACCATACAACAATCAGTTATAACTCTTGGTATTTTCCCAAATGAGCTGCAAATTTATTTGTTTATAACACTTTCATTCATAATTGGTAGGATTTGGAAGCAAGCAAGATGTCCCTCAGTAGGTTTATTAGTCCATTTTCTGTTAGTATAATGAACTATTGGAGGCTTGGTACTAATAAAGAAAAGAGGTTCCTTTAGCTCACAGTCTTGGAGGCTGAGAATCCAAGCAGCATAGCCCTGGCTCAGGTGAGGGAACCCATGACTGCATCACCTCGTAGTGCACACCACTGTGGGAGGAAGAGACTGCCTGGGCAGACAGGAAACCCGAGAATGGGGCAGGGCCACCTATGAGGTTTCACCATGCTCCTGTTCCTAAAGATCCACCCTCTTCCAGCTTCGTCACACCAAGGACCAAAGTCCCAACACACGAACCCTTGAAGGACAAACTGAGGTCCTATCCAAACCAATCCAGTAGGTGAATGGGTAAATAAAGGGTGGCAATCCAGATATTGGAACATTATGGAACAGTAACCAGAAATGAGCTCTTACACCGTGAGAAGACACGAAAGGATCTTAAATGAATATCAGTGAAAGAATCCAACCTTAAAAGATGGCAGACTGTATGATTCCAACCATATGACATTCTGAATGGGCAAAAGTGCTGTAAAAAGATCAATGGTTCCCAAGATTGGGGAGGGATGATGACGCAGAGGAGCAGAGAGGATTTGGGGAACAGGGTCATTACTCTTTACGATTCTACGGTGACATAGATGTCACTGTACATTTGTCAAAACTTGTGTAATATTCAACAGCAAGATAAATTGTGGGCTTTGAGTGATAATATGCCAGTGCAAGTTCACTGAGTTTTAGCAGACCTGCCAGTCTGTTGCAGGGATGTCGATAATGGGGTTGGCGGTGTATGTGTGAGTGCAGAAGGTAGATGGGAACTTTCTACACTCTATATTCAATTTTCCTGGAGAGTAAAACTTTTCTAAAGATAAAATTTACTAAAGAGAAAAAAGTATGTGGTCAGTCCTTATCTAACAGGTAAATGGTGCTCCATAAAATTAGGTAATTGTTTCAAATCAAGAGGCATATTCCCACAGAAATAGCAATGCTGCTTAAAGCCTAAGCCAGACCACACATTCTGGCTGGAATTGTATAGTTGGGACTGAAATCTCTTAAATAAGGATAAGAGGCTGTTTGGCAAAATTCCTTGTATGATGCATCATAAGATATGAATCACTTTCCTTCTGACAAACAAACGCTGTCTCCTCCCAAGTATCTGGATTACAATGGATACATTTTTTAATGCACTTCATGTGTCTCATTAATTTAATACACATGACTGAACATATCTTGTGTCCTGGTTACTGCACTAAGTGCTGGGAATTTGACGACCAGTAAGACAGTGTCCACAGACTGAAAATACTTAGTCCTGGTTGTCCAATGGGAAAAGAGTGGCAAGGATTCAGAGAAAACCATGCCAATCTTGCTATGAGTGACCAGTCATGTGCATGTGATACCTGTGAATTTTGGAATGCAGACAATACTATTAGGGTGCAATAAAATATATATCGAAAGCTTTTCTGCACATCTGTTTTCTGACTTGCACTCCACAGATATTATGATGATCAAACAGAGGCACAGGGATGTTTATTAATCTGTCGAGATCAGATAGATAGTGAATTAAAATCAGGTTGCCAGAGAAGTATAATAGGGAGAAAGATGTCACCATGAGAGAATGAGTCCTATGATACTCTTCCACCTTATTCCAAATTCTTCCACCAAAAACCACTCTGCCTCTCTCTGTGTAGGTCCTTTTCAAATCAGTAACCTAAGAAACTAATAATAAATCACAGTCAGTTTGTCTGGTACAATGTCTTTGACGCATGCTTAATCTTGGCATATTTGGGATATTTTTAATTAGTTTCCAGCTAGTAAATGTCATATATTACCCCTTTCATAGACTATCAGAACTGAGGACAAATTTAAGGATAATAAATCTCCCGAGACAAGGAAATAGATACCGAAAGACTGTCACAAAGACAGCAGTTTCTTTAAAATGTCTCTGACATCTTCCAACCTCCTGCTGTACCTTATACGCACTTCGGTAGTAAACATCATGCTGTTGGCTATCACTTTTTTTTATCTATTTGAAATTATATAATCAACTGTGCATCACTAGAGAAGAAGAGATTTGTCTTGTCAATTTTTGTTTTCCTGGTATCTAACACAGTACTTGGGTATACCACAGTGCTCCTAATGTATTAGCCATTGTTGACTAAATAGATGGCTGAACGGAAAGACATAATTTGAATCACCAGGAGCTAATAATTATTGGCATGCTCTGGGTTTAGAACCCAAGTCTTTTAAATTCCATTTCAGCATTGTTAACATTTTCTGTTTGATTCTTCAGTATGACAATTACAAATACTCTCCAAGTGATGTCAAACTTAGTTTTTGATCAAGCTATTAGAGATAAAATAATCACTACAATGGCATTTTTCCAGGCTACTTGGTGAAAAGTTAGCACAGGTAAAAGCGATACTGGTACATTCACTATAATAGCCAAACGGTCCTTCTGGTTTAACCAGCTACTGTATTTCATTCATATCATAAAATGAGGAGATTTGTAATTGTCAATGAGGAAATCTGTAATTTTTAAATGAGGAAAAAGTTGTAACAAGATGGAAAATCAGGCCTATTCAAACTCAATGCAGTGGGTATCTGAACGGGATACCAAAATATATTCTGGGGATCTCAAGCAAGAATGTGGAAAGAGGATCTAAATTAACATAAAAAGAGCCTTTATATCTTTCTGGGGTGTGAACTAGAGAGCCAATAAAACCAAAGATCAGTGGTGCAAGAACTGATTAGAAAGTAAGGGAGGGAAAATACGATGTGAAGTCATATATAACCCCAAGAACTGGAGTTTTGTAAAAAGAATTATTCTTTTTTCCTTTTGTTTTCTTCTTGTTCTCTTTTCTTTTTAGTGAAACTCAGTGCCCATTTGCTTTGTGTCCTCCTTTTCAGACTGATGATGCCTAACCCAATATTGTTTACAAGGGAACATTTTTATATATTAACTTTGAAATAAATACTGTTAAATTGTGAAGAAAATTAGACCTGATGCGTATCTTATTTCCTAAGTAAGGTAAATAATGGAAAATAAATTCTGTTAAAGAAACATCTCCAGAGCACACACAAAAAGGATATTTATCTAAATAAAAATACATAAAAATATGAGAATGAAATGCAGTAGATATTACAATAGCAGCTATATCTAGATAGTGGTATTTTATTTTTTCTACATTAACAATTAATTTTATTCAAATAAAAAGAAAATAACCTCTGTAAATAACCACATTATTAGACAATTAAATTATTCATGCGTTTCCAAGAACATTAAGTTCCGTTTTATTCTATTTATTTCCAGTTAACAATCCTTTATGGAGCAAAGGATTACGCCAGATACTAGGAAAGATACAAAGACGAGTGAAACACAACTGCGTCCTCGGAGGAGTTTACAATCTGATGTGCACCAGGAATGCACGGGAACAGAGTGGTGGCTCTGCACAGCGCTGGACTCCTGACCTTCTGGGCTCCAAATGAAGATGCTGGCATCAGATTTGAGCTTTTTAAATGTTCCATCCCAGGAGTGAGGTTGACGTTATTCCTCCCTGGATCTTAGCAGAGCTGCTATCTAGGAAGAACACTTAAAAAGGCCCCCGAAATGCTCTCTTGGAGATGGAAGAAGGAGAGGAGAATGAAGTGGGCCGATGCGAAGGTGACGACCAGACGGGTGGATGGATGACAGAGGGCAGAGCCATGGTGGCGGAGGACAGCGTGGGCTGGTGCTGCACTCATCAGTTCCGTGAGCACCGTGTTCCGTGGACGGGACCACGGGGATGAGCAGGAAGTGGCGTGAGGGGAGGAGATGCTTAGAATTGAGCAAGTTTGGCAGCATTTAAATCCCCAAACCCTTTCAATTCTGCATCAGAAGAGATGATGAGAGGCCCTTTGGTCATTCTTTGGTCTGCAAGCGCAGCCACACACTGTCCCTAAGACAAGAACAGTCGTAGCCCAGCCTTGGAGTTTCACCATACGGCCAGCATGGGTCAGGGTGTCTTAACACACACGAACGTGTTGAGTCATCATTGTCCGAATTAGGGACTGTTACGATCTCCATTTTATAGAGAAAGATAGGGAGGCATCGAGAGGACAAGTAACTTGCCCTGTGCCACAAGCTAGTGAGAGAGGAGCACAAGATTCTGGCTTCTAAGTCCGTGCTTTCAACCTCTGGGCTCTCCTGCTCTGCATAAAGATGTGCCCAGATCAGTTAAACCTCACACAAAAAAGAAAATCTACAGTTCCCTCAATAACAGGTAATTTATTTTGCGTGGATCAAATTCCTCTGTGTTCTCCTTGCTGATGCTGTACTTGAAGATCGCTGAAAGGCTGCTGACTGGTATTCTCAGCTTTACATACTTTCTCTCAACTCAGAAGTTAAGTTATAGTCAGTATGTGAGTGTTAATTGCTGGGTTGACCAGGGATAGACAGTGCTCTCCCCGGTGTCTGTTAGTAACTCGGCTCTGGCCCCTCCTTCAAAGGTCTCTGCTCCATACAGGACACAAGGTAGAACCTGATTTTCCTTCATTTCTGCCTTAATTGGTTCCTAGCCAGGGTTTTCCCTTGAGAAAACTTGAAAGGAGCAATAGAATCTTTAGTCTCCTGAGGCAGATTCATAGCAGAACTGAGAGTCTCATTGGTCCAGTGTGGACTCTTGATATCAGTCAGTGCTCACTAGAGAGACAGATTTAATGCAAGATGCACTGATATAGGATTTACAAGGTAGACTTACAGCGGCCACCTGCAGTCAGGGATGGAAGAGTGCAAAAGGCATCTGCACACTGGGGAGCTGGAGGATCCAGTCAAACATTGAAGACCTGGAGCTACTGGTGAGTCCTATGAGAGTCCATATGACGGTCTGCAGTGGAAGGCTGAAGAGGCTTTCCTGGGGACGACATCCACAGTGCAGGTGGGGCCTGGAGCTCCTCTGAAGAAACATTTAATTTTATTCCATCCAGCTTAAAGCCTACTGAAACCTATTGGTTGGTGCCACTCACACCCAGGGTGGTCTTCTGTCCTCAGTAAATCCCTTCAGCCACACCCAGAACCATGCTGATCCAGTGAGTCAGGCGTTTCCTACTTAAATTGACACGACAGTCAACCTCACACTCTTTAAGGTCCAGTGCCACACCAGGGGTGCGATTTCCAGCACTGCTGCCTGACATCAGACACTGAAAGGCACTGGTGATGGGAAGCCCACACTTAGCCTTCCTGTTTGCAGCTGAAGTCGCTCTGTTCATATAACCACAAGGGTTAGGGCACAGCTGATGCCAAGTCTCAGCTAATGTCCATTGGGTCCGCTGGCCGAGGCTGATTTTGTTGCTTGGGTCTTCAGCATTTCTACAGTGGTGCACGCTTTCTGGAGGGTGCTAAACATGGCGCCTTTATCTTCAGACATGGTGCCCACTATAGCGTCTAAAGCCTCATGCTTCCAGACCTGAATTTTTTTTAATAGACTTAATGTTTAGGGCTACTTTAAGTTCAGAGTAAAAGTAACCGAATAGTACAGTGATGCCCATGTGCATAGCCTCTCCCATTCTCCACACCCCTGTGAGTTCTCTGTTCTCATAATTGATGAGCATCCATCCACACATCATCATGCCCTGTCTATAATTTACATTAGGGTGCACTCTAGTGCTGTACACTGTATGGGCTTTGATAAACATATTGTGATGCAGCTTCACTATGGGTGTGGTCTTCCTGCTTTAAATATCCTTTGTATTCTGCATATTTATCCCTCTCTACCTCTGTCAATCACTGATCTTTTTACTGTCCCCCTGTTTTGCCTTTGACAGAGTGTCACATAATCAGAATTATAGAACATGTACAATTTTCAGGTTGGCTTCTTTCATGGATTAAGAGGGATTTAAGCTTTTTCTATTTTTTTATGGCTTGATAGCTCATTTCTTTTTAACAGTGAATAATACTCCAATATCTGGATTCACCATTTATCTGTTCCTCTACTGGGGGACATACTGGTTGTTTCTGCATTTTAGCAGTTATGAATAAAAGTGCTATAAGCATCCATGCACAGGTTTTCATGTATATATGTTTTCAATTCCGTGGGGTGAATAACAAGGAGGGGAAATGCTGGGTTCTATGGTAAGAATGCATTTCGTCTTGTAAGAAACTGCTATTCTGTCTCTCAAAGTGGTTGCACTACTTCACATTCCACCACCAGTCAGTCAGACTTCCTGCGTCCCTTGCTACATTCATTGCCGACAGTGTTCTGGATCGAGCCACTCTAATGGGTGTAGGATGGTATCTCATTTTAAATTTGCATTTCTCTGATGACACATGGGTATAGAACTTTTTTCTTTTTCTTTCTTTTCTTTTTTACCATCTGTATACCTTCTTGGGTAAGGTGTCTAATAAGGTTTTTTGCCCAAATTTGGTCACATTGTTCAGATGGCCATCTGCTTTTCAAATACTGAGAATCAATAAGCGAAATCTATCTCTCAAGCATTTTCTTTTTCAATAGCTCACTCTAATTTTCACTCATCACCAAATGGAATCAGTAACTATAAATTCCATTTCCCTGAAGTATAAAAGCAAACATAATTTTTATAAAGTTCTTATATTTTCATTGTGTACTGCAGATAAACATATGCACTGTGCCCATTAAATGTTGGAAAACTGGGTAATTGGTCTTTTATATTCCTTAAATTATGTAAGAATCCTTGCAGGATTATTCTAAAGATAGCTATTATCAGAGCTTTTGGGACAGCTGGAGACAAGGGGTTTTCTTTTTCTTTTCTTAATGTCCAGTCATACACAGACAAATATTACAGAAAATATAATAAAAATAAGTTTCTAGGTCATCAGGATCAAATTGTTTGACCTCAGGAAGCAGTTTGGTGGTAGTAGCTCCCACTGTCATTGCTCTGCTGTAGACAATGGACATTCTAGGGTTTTCAGGGGTGTCACACCTCTTTCTCAGATTTCTTGCAGCCTTGGAGAAGGGTATAGATTCTGAACCCATGGGGTGTGGTGCAGAGGAACGTACTTACGGGCAGGTGACCAGATTTAATTTGATAATTCCACTTTAAAATTCCAAAGACATGCTATATCTTTGGATATTTTATCCTACAGTATGTAAGGAAACCGGCATTTCAAATTTACCTGGTGTAATGCTACCTTTAGTTAAAAATTGTATAAAATGTAAGGTGTAGTATAAAAATAGTTACAAAAAGATAGGTATGGTGTGATTTTTTTATATAACTTTTTAAGACATGCAAAGGATAATATATATTATTTATAGATACAAACATATGGAGCAAACTTTCCAAAGTATACACAGTGGTAAACAGCATTTCAGTACAGTAATTATCTCGGAGAAGGAAAGGAAGAGTGAGATCAGAAAATTTTATATAGGGAAACTTTACTGGTAATATTGCATTTCTATGAAAAAGTTATAAGAAAATAACTGATGCAAATAATGCAAAGTGTTGATATTTGTCAAATTCAGGAGGTGATATGCAATGCTTATGAGTAACTGTCTTGGAAATATCCTTGAAAGTTTTCATTATATATATCTTATTCATGATATAGTCAATAAAGAATTATATATATCCAATACATATATTCATTATATATTTATATACTTGAAATAATGAAAAGAAGACCTTATGATTTCTGTTTCTAGTCTGAGTACTGGCGTTACCAGGCTTCTGGGGTGCTCTGGGCTCCTTCTAGAGATTCTTTCCAAATTCTTGATGTCCTGAACAAAGAATTGGACTAGAAACATGCAAAAGGTAGCAAGGTTTTATATTTAGTAAAGATAGAAAAAGAAAGTATGCTCTACAGAGTGAATTTGGGCCAGTTAAATGTACGAATGAAATATACTCTGTGGAGTCAGAGCGGGCCACTGAAAGAGGGTACAGTGGCCATGAGGTTATTGGCAGCCATCTTTAGGATCTCCCATTCTGACATCATATTGAAGCCATCCTATCAAAAACCTGCTTGATCTTGGGCCAGAAGCATTGAAGAAAAGCATTTTCTGACTGATCCCAGGTGCAGGCCTTGGGAACAGTTTCTGTGTGTGTGTGTGTGTGTGTGTGTGTCCATGACAGGTCACACCTACATGCCCAGCTGGCTGGCCCTGTCCCAATCTCCTGCCTCCCCGGGATGATGGTGATATCATTCAATGTGACACAGAGAGAAGAACAGATTTCTAATCATGCATAGGAGACTAAGCTTTGGATTTGTTGGTTTAGAGAAACCTAATGTATATTTCATGCTACATAGAATAACCTATTCTCATATTTCCTTTATTATCCTGTTACTTTCAAGTAAGTTATCTAGAGTGATAGGCATATCACTAAAATGAATGACCTCAACAGAATATGTGTAGACCTCAATAAAGAATATAATGAAGGATTTCATGTTCTTGGAAGACTGTGTGAAAAATGTAGACTAAGGGGAAGTCCAGTTAGCTATACTCAAGGTTTTGTGCAGGATACATTGTAGTATGGACCTGTGTGGATTGCAATCAGATAGGAAAGACTTCATAATACTGAGAATGTCTTCTGTTTGAATCTTTAAATTATAAATAGTAAGTCTTTATACTGTAATTCTTAAGAGAGTGCATTCACAGCACATAGTAATAGTTGTCTATTTAATGCTTCTCAGTGCTAGGCTCTGTGCATAAAGACAGTGCGCATAATCTCCTTTAATAATTCCAATAACCCTTTGCTATTACTATACAAGTTTCACAACTGTGATGTGTGATCTATTAAGAAATTTATATTTGGGGCTGGGGATTTAGCTCAATGGTTCTGTTGCCTGCCTCGCAAACACAAGGTCCTGAATTTGAGCCATGGTACCAAAAAAAAAATTATATTTTGTCTCTGCTCCTGGTTCTTTTCACTGTCTCCTAAAGTCCTTGAAATCTCCAGTAGTAAGAATGCCTTTTTTATGCTAACAAGCCAAGTATCAGCTGGTTTTAGGATGAAGGGTGATCACTAGAAAAACCAAGGAGGTGTGCTTCAATGGTTGGGACTTCTCAGCCCACCCTGAACTCTGGATGGTAAAGAGGTTGAAAGTTGAGTTGATCACCAATGGCAGATGATGTAAGCAGTCATTCCTGTGTAAGGAAGATCTCATAGAACCCCATAAGGACAGTGTCTGTAGAGCTTCCAGAGGGTTGGATGTTTGGAGATGCAGGAGGGTGGTGACTGATCCCTTCCCCCCTACCCTGCCTGTGCGTCTTTCCCATTTGGTGTTCATTGTCATCTTTTGTAAAATCCTTTATAGGGATTAATGGGTAAGCATGAGTATATATTTCTTTGAGTTCTGTGAGCTGCTCTAGCAAATTAGTGGAATCCAAGGTGTGGGTTATAGGGACTCCCAGTTCATAGCTGGAAGTCTGGAAGCACAGGTTGTGACCTAAAGCTTGTGAGTGGCATCTAAAGTGGGGTGGTCTTGTGGGATTTGAACCCATACTTTGTAGACTCTGACATTACATCCAGGTAGATAATATCAGAATTGATTTGGCTTAGAGGACACCCAGCTGGAGTCCACCAAGAACTGATCAGAGAAGGTGAAATCCCGACATGTATTGGTGACCAGGAACTAAGTACCCTATAGTGAGTGGTGTGTGCGTGTGCGTGTGTGTGTGTGTGTGTGTGTGTGTGTGCGCGTGCACACATAGGAAGAAAAGTGTCTTTTCCTCTCTTTAAAACAGTTAAGAGAACTTGGACTCAGAGAGGGTAAGTAACTTGCTAAGATGATTCAGACCTCATCACTTTCTGATTTCCTTGAAATTTCCTAGGGGCCACACGAAGAGAATATTGAGTTGCAGCTTGGCATTTACTGACTCTGTGGTCTCGGGCATGATACTTAGTTGTTCCAATTCTTAGTATGCTCAACAAAAATAAACACTTCATTTCATGGTGTTTCTGTGAAAAGAAATGACAGAATGCATAGATAGCACTTACTGAAGGACCTTGGGTCATTGGATGTTAGGTAGGAATGAGTAAGATGGATGCCAATCTGCTGAGAAGATATTTTTGCCTGGGACCTTTGATGCCGAAGTGTCCAATTGGCTGTGACTATGGGCTTGCTCCATGCTAAGCACAACATGGATATTCTGCACATGGATCATTTTAGAATGAAATCCTGCCTGTAATGATAAAGTAGAGAAACAACTTCCTGGACTTTTTTCTCTTGTTCAAAGAGTTCACTAGGCTAAAGTCCAAGTTCATTTTGACTTCAGTAGATAAGAAAGAGCAAGCTTGCTGATGGGTAGTACTTTCATATATTTTCAAGTTTTGGACAAGTAATTAACTTATGGTGAATGTCCTGTCACCGCTGAGCGGGACATGGTGGAGCAGTTCCAGCGACAGCTCAGCCATGAATTCTCCTCTTAGACAAGCTGCCAAACTCACTCAGACCCAAAAGTGTGCAGCCAAGGGGAACAGCTTAAGCACTTAAAGGCTTTTAAAGTATACTGCTTTTGATTATAAGTGTAAAATAATGTTTGCTGTAGGAAATTGGGAAGCAGAGATGCTATGGTTTGGGTGTGTTTCCCTCAAAGCACCTGTGTTAGAAATTTGGTATTTCAAGATGGGGCCCTTGGGGAGCAATCAGGATTACACAAAGTCATGAGAGCAAGCACTTAGCATGGCATTAGTGGCTTCATAAGAAGAGGAGGCTAGTCTGAGCTGCCAGGGACTCACTGCCTCACCAGGGGACCTCCTCCCTCCTATTACAGCGCAGTGACAAGGCTTTCACTGGATGCCAAGCAGGCTCAGGCACTGTGCTCTTGGACCTCCAGCCTCCAAACCAGGAGCCAAGTACACTTCTATGCTTTATAAATTGCCTGGCTCAGACATTTTGTTATAACAACAGAAAATGGACTAAGAAGACATTGATGTTTGTTAAAGGAAGGCTATATCCCAGTCATAGCCCCAGTTGCAGTCTTGTCCTCTTACAGATTTTTGTTCCCTTTTGGTATTTTTGAGACAGGGTCTCACTGGGTAGTTCAGGCTGGACTTGAACTCACTATGTAGCCCAGGCTGGCATTG